TCTATGATTGTTTTTGTACTTAGTGAACATTTAGCGACCATTATGTGGCAAGGTTGTGGTGTGTCCCAAGGATAAAAAGATGCCTGGATAATGTATCTGAACAATCTTGAAGACATGAACTGAAACGGGCATGAAAGAAATGACTGCAAAACGAGAAAGAAACTAACCAGGGAAGGGTTTATTGGGGCACCTCATGGTTGAGTAGGGCTGACTTAGTGGGTTGGTGTTTAGTGAGCTGGTGGTGCTGGAACTAGAACTCTGCCACCACAGGCAGGTAAACAAAGGACACTGTACCCGAAGAGCCAGCAAGTACAAGGCAGAGGTTGGCACACCTTTCCGTAATGGGCCAGAGAGTAAGTTATATAGGTTTTGAGCCATAGGGTTTCTGTTACAACTCAGCTCTGTACTTAAAGTGTGAAAGTAACCATGCATGGTATGAGAATAAGTAAGTATGGCTGTGTTCAGGAGAACTTTGTTTCTAGACACTGAAATTTTACTTTTGTGTAATTTTTTTCATGTTATGTGACTAATCAGTCTTTTGATATCTTTAACCATTTGAAAGTTTAAAAACCACGTCTAATTCATGAACTGTACAAAAAAAAGGCATAGTGTCAGCTTTGGCTCCCAGCTGTAGTTTGCCAGTCCACACCAAGGTGGAGAAGTGGGAGAGACCATGTTGCAGGAGCAGACACAGTAATCAGACATGCGGGTCTTGATTGAGTGGGCCTGGGTGAAGGCTGAGGCTCTGCATTCTTAATGTGGTACTAGGTCATGGTGATGCCAAAGTCCTCACAGGAAGGAGCAAAGAGCTAAATATAGGGTCATTAGGATCTTAGCATGCCCTTGACGCTCTGATAGGTGTTTGTGGAAATGGGGAAATACAGAAGTCAATTTTCTGCCTATTAGGTACTTTTTTTTTATTTTAAAGAGAAAGAACACTAAAAGCAATGATACAAAATTTCAAACCAAGATAGAAGGAGTGTAACAGTGGTTAGTACATTGCTTATTGTTTTTTTTTTTTTTTTTTTTGTTTTTTTTCTGGTGCCGGGAACGAAACTCACAACCTTGCGCTTGCCAGGCAGGCGCTTGGTCCACTGAGCTATATTCCCACCTACATTGCTTATTGTTATCTTTAAAGTAATTGCTCAAAGTATAAAATATAGGCATGAAAAATGGATCAAATGATATAAGCACAAACTTTTCAATGAACTAATAGAAATTAGTAGTATAGCTATCTTACCTATCTTGTGTGTGTATATGTGTGTGTGTGTATATATATACATATATACACATACATGTGTGTATATATGTATATGTGTATATATATATATATATTTTTTTTTTTTTTACTTTTCCCTTCCTTCTTTTCTCCATTCCCTTATCCCAGTTTCTCTTTCCTTTTGAGCAGTTTCTTCCTATTTCCCAATATCTATTGTACATCTTGGCTTTTATTTACTTTTTTAGCTTCTTACACTAAGGAGACAATATGTTTACATAGGTGAGACTGATTTTTTTCACTTATGAATATGTTCTCAAATTGCATCCATTTACCCACAAATGTCTCAAGTTTATCCTTCTTTATAGCTGAGTAGTACTCTATTCTATAAAAATATTGCATCTTTTTTATCCATTCCTCGGTTGATGGGAGTTTGGGTTGTTTCCAAGATTTAGCTGTTACAGATTGTACTGCTATAAACATGGGTACACATATATTGCTGCAGTGTGATGTTTTTAATTCTTCTTGTGAAATACCCAGAAGGGGAATAGCTAGGTTGAATGGGACTTCTAATCCTAGTTTTTTGAGGAATCTGCATACTAATTTCCACGATGATTGCACCAGTCTACACGCCTACCAGTGGAGAAGGGTTCCTTTTTCCCCACAGCCCCACCAGCAATTTTTATTGGTTGATTTCTTGATGGCAGCCATTCTTTCTGGAGTGAGATGGAATCTCAGTGTTGTTTTAATTTGCATTTCTCAAATGACATTGAACATGTTTTCATATGTTTATTTGGCATTTGTATTTCTTTATTTGAGAAATGTGTATTCATCTCAGATGCCCATTTTTGGATTGGCTTTAAATTTGGAGGGAGTTTGATTTTTTTACAATTATAGATATATATTCTAGCTACAAGTCCTTTATCTGAGAGACGGTTGGTTAAAATTTTTTACCATTGTGTGGGTTGTCTTTTAACTCTGTTGGTGATTTCTTTTGATGTGCAAAAACTTTTGAATAAGATGAGATCCCATTTGTTAATTCTTTAGAGTATTTCCTGTGCAGTTTGGATTTTATTCATGAAGTCTCTGCCTACACCTATGTTTTCAAGATTTCTACTTGTTTTCTCTTCCAGTAGATTCAGTGTTTCTGTTTTAATATTTAGATCTTTGATCCATTTTAACTTTAGCTTAGTGCATGGGGATAGACATGGGTCTAGTTTTAGTCTTCAGCCTGTAGACAACCAGTTTTTCCAGCACCATTTATTAAAGAGGTTCTTTCTTCCAGTGAATATGTTTGACCCCTTTGTCAAAGATAAGGTGGCTGAGTGTGTTTGTAGTTATATCTGCATCTTCTGATATGTTCCACTCATCATCAGTTTTCTTGCCAGTACATGCTGATTTTATCACAGTAGCTTTGTAGTATATTTTCAAGTCAGGGAGTGTGATGCTTCCTGCCTTGCTTTTGTTGCCCAGAATTGCATTTGCTATTCTAGGCCTCTTGTGGTTCCAAATGAATTTTAGGAATATTTTCTCTAGATCTGAGAGGTATGCTAATGATATTTTGATCAGGATTGTATTAAATCTGTATAATTTTGGAAATATGGCCATTTTCACTGTGTTGGTTCTTCTATCAGGTATTTTCAGTCTATTTTGAGAAGAGAGATTTATATGAATTGAAAGATAAATGCACTCTCTCAGAATAGGAATTGAACATAGGAAGTAAGCAGGCAGCAGATTCTCCCAGGGCTGGCACATGGGCAGTGGGATGGAGGCCACACAAGGCTGTGGCTGAGCTGGGACTGGGTCTGTTGACTTCAATGTCTACACATCACCTCCATTCTGTGTCTGCTGGGATTTCCTCTTTTTTTCTTGTTTATTTGTTCTAGTGTTATCTTGAGCCATTCTGGACATCATTTACATTAGTAGAGACTTTGTTTCGGGTAAACTTTCTTGGACGTGCTGACAGGAGGGGAAGTTCTAGGAACATAATTCTGCATAGTGACCAGAGCTTTCATGGGGCTGGAGAAAGGCCACTCACCTGAAGCTTAGCGACAGTACCTTAGAAGTGCAGCTGAGTAGTTGGTGGGCTTAGATGATTATGGAAGTCAGTTAGAACACCTGAGCTGAAAAAGCATGCTCACCATTGAGGTTGACAAATGCTCAGAAAGTCTTCTCTGGAGATTATATTTTACTCAGAAACTCTCAGATACTATAACTATAAAGTTCTTTGTTTTTATAAAGTGCTATGGTATCTTACTGTAAAGATACAGTAATATCATGCTCTGAGACAGGCTTAGGGCATAGAGAGAAGGTTATGATTCTGTGAGACTACTCCTATGTAATAAAAAAGACAAAACAAAACTTTGGCTGCCTACCCTGGGCTGGAATGTGAAAGACATAAATGGGTGGATGTTTTCTTTCTCATTGGTTATTGTTCTGATTGTATTGCCTGAGGGCTTTTACTGCTCGATAGTGAATTAGAGACAAATATGGTTGGAGTCAGGGTCTTACTTTAAAAAACAAGAAATCAGTGACCACCTGGAGGAAAATACTGTCTTTAAAGAAAAAGGCAGGACCCAAATAAAGCCACCTGGCTGCTGGTGTACCGTAGCTGACTGGCCGTAAGGCCTATGTTTAGAACTATTGTTCAACTGGTGAGGTGTGGATTATTCTGACTCAAGCATACATTCTGGCTGACCTTTTGGTTAAAGGAGCCATTTGTTCAGGTTTGCTAAGAATATTCTGTGGCTCAAAAATTGAATGTATGTGTGTGCACATATACACAGCCTCTGACGCAAAGGAGCCCCACGGAAATCTCTTAGCCAGGAGAGGAAAATTGAGAAATTTGCAGCTATATGAAGGATGATGATAGTAGGTCCAACTGTTGCAGCTGAGAATGGAACATGCTTGTCCCTCCCTCCTCAGGACCTTTTCTGTCACCCCAGACTCTGATTTAGTCTGAGATGGAACCCAGAGCTTAAGTTTTCAGAGCTTCCTGGGTGATTCTAACATGCAGCAAGGCTAAGAATCTGAGTAAGTAGAGAATGTATTCAGCCTATTACCGAAAGCTATTACCCCTGTATTCCTACTTACCAAGAAGACCTGTGTTCTTTCCTGCCAGAACTTGGCCAGATTAAATGATTTTGTCTCCAAATCAGGACAGCAACTGGGGCATGTGGAGTAAGAATTTTGTGTTATGTTTGTGGTTTAAAGAATGCACAAAGAAATCTAAGTGGCTGAAAACTTGGGATACTGAAGCATACATTGGATTTGTTGGCTACTTTCACTTCTGTGGGAAAATGACTTGACCCCTGAATGCAGAATATCAGAGCAGAGCTTCCCAAACTAAAGATTTGTCTAAGCTCTTGTTTTGTGTGTGTGTGTGTGTGTGTGTGTTGTTTTGTTTTGTTTTGTTTTGTTCTGTTGCTTTTAGCATGCTAGATCTTCCTTCTGACATTGTTCTTTCTTTTTTTAACCATTCTTCGAGAGGATAATGTCAAACCCTTGTGGATATAACCAGATATATATGTAGTGGTCTTTGGCAGAATTCTAATTTCATTGATCTGTGATTTTTTTTTAAGAGTTAGAAGGTCCCCTCTGCTATCAGTCCTGTGAGTTACCTATCTGTTGTCATGATACTGGATCACCTTGTGTCTTGAAATGAAAAGCAGGAAAGATGTGTGCAGATAGCTTTAAAAGTTTGCCCGATGGGGCTCCTGTTAGATATGTATTTGGAAACTTAAATGCTTGATTTTGTACTTAAGTTTCTTCTCTTATCTTTCAGTACACAAGGGTCTGGATTCCTGACCCAGATGAAGTGTGGCGCTCGGCTGAACTAACCAAGGACTATAAAGAGGGAGAAAAGAGCCTCCAGCTCAGACTGGAAGATGAAACTGTAAGTGCTGGTCCTGGAGTGGGACGCTAAGTGTGTGCTGAATAGTATTCTATGGTACATGGTGTGCTTAGATTTTTCCTGGTCATTAAAGCTTCTGAGAGACTGGATTCTTTCTTTGTTGTTACTGATGATAATAAATGAGAAAGTGCTAAATCATGAGCTGCTCGTTGAATGTCACATAGTAAGTTTCCACTGACGTTAGCAGTGGAAAAATCATTGATGTCTGGGGCAAGAATCTTTGGTAGATCGGAGGGAACAAGAAGTTCCCCCTGTGGGGCTGAGGCATCTGTGGGTGGTGAGGGAAGGGAGCTATGCCAAGGGATGCTGCAGATGTGGTTGAGGGCGTGGGCTTTGGAGCCATCCTGCTTGGTTGGGATCCTGGCTCAGCCATTACTGACCTTATGACCTCAGTCAGCAGGCTAGCTTTCCTTCTGTGCCTTAGTCACTTTCTCCATCACACACAATACTTGACACTTAAACCTGTTGTCTTTACTTTGATTCATGGTTATAGTTCATTGTCGGTTTGCTCCAGGCCAAGAAGTACCTGGTGAAAGGGCCTGGGTGGAGGAGAGCTGCTCATGTCAAAGCAGCCAGGAAGCAGAAAGGAAGGGAACAGGAAGGGGGAGATACACTCTTCCAGGGCACATCCCTAGTGCCCTGAGTCTTCTGAGCAGGCCCTACCTGATGGGCACAGCGACCTGGCGATCCAGTCACCTTCCACAAGCCCTGCCTCTGAGCACAGAGGCTACAGGGGATATTCTCACTCTAAACCATGACAGTGTCTGTTATTTCGTGAAAGTAGTACCCGCACATAACTATGTATGTTAGCTTCTGTAAAGAGCATTCTTTCTGATTTGCTAGGATTTTCAGATTTCCCTCAAAAAGGGACAAGGTAGGAATTGAGAAATTCTGTTTCTCCAGAGAAGTCTGGTTCAGTTTCCCTTTTGATGAGCATATTGTGAGCACCCAATGCAATTGGTGCATTTCACGCACTTTAATGCTCACCCTCCCCTGTGCTAGGTGGTAAGTGGAAAGTTGCAGCCCTGCCTTTTCAGGAGCTCTGTGTCAGATGAGACAGTGAACATAAAATAGAAATGAGACAGTGTCTCCAAGACAAATTGCAACACAGGAGCAAGTCAGTGAGGTGTGGGGGAACAGTGAAGGAACATACTGTGGTAGCCTGTTCAGCAAGGCCAAGCTTCTCAAGGAGCAGGTGTGAAAGGAGCTAGTCGCTAGAGCTGAGGGTGCAAGGGGGCTGAGAACAACATATCCTGGTAGGAGCCATGTGTGCCGAATTCCCGGGACCTGAGAGTCTCTTTGGGGTGTGTGCAATGGAAGGAAAGGGAACCAGTGGACCTCGACCCCAGTGGAGAAAGGAACAGTCAGGTGGCCACAGCTGAAGATGCAGGCAGTAATTAATGCAGGGTCTGGAGTGTGGGCAAGAAGGGGAGAGAAGTAGGTTTTTAACAAAGAGTTGGGAGGACATCAAGAATTAGCTTCGAGGTGGATTGTTTGGGCTGCAGAGCAGAAAGGTTGGCTTGGCATGACTGTTGCCACCCCTGACTTCCAACAACACAAACTCTGTTTCGTGTCCTTTCACGCTGAACTATTTACTGTCTGATTGTTTTTCTTTTTTTTTTTCAAGTGCATTGGTCTGGTCTAAATAGTTAGTGATTAACCTATTGCTTGAACATTCTTCCACTAACTTCAGTTTTGCATCAACTTGGACATGCCACTTGTTAAAACTGGAGGAGGACCTGTGAGTTTGTAAGAAAGTATGCCCCTAAGATGTGCCCCCAACCATTCTCTAGCTGCAGGCAGGCTTTGCTATCCCCTTCTTGTTGATTTTGAAGTGAGAAACAATACCCCCACCAGATGGAATCCTGTTTACCATGTTGAATAACTTCTCACCCCACGCCTGAAACAAAATGAAATTAATCCACCCACTTGAATGGTGTGCCTTCTACTCCAACAGATTTCATTACAGTTGATCTTTTCAGGTGGGTGGGTGTTTTGAAAAGTTGTACAGAGGTAGTGGGGAATGATTTGCCATGTTGCTAAAACAGAGCAGATGCTGGCCTCTCCGTCTGCACACGGATTTGGCCCTGCGTGACTAATCTGGCGGCCTTCCAGGGCCCACTGTGCCCCCCTCCTTAGCTTTGAGGCCAGTCAGCATAGAATTCGAAGGAAGGCTGGGACTGGAGATCAGCAGCTCTCGAGAAATAACAGGCTTAGTATCTGAGTCTGCCCAGGTCACTGAGCGGTTGTGGTTTGCTCACAGTTAACTCTGAGCAACTTGGCCACTGTGCCCGAGATAGGAACGTGGAAGCTGCATGGCCAGATGCTGAGTGCTCAAAGAGCATCTCTCTGAAGCAGAACTAGGCTTGCCGGCGGCTCTCCCAGCCCACAAAGTCACTGCAAGAGGTTAAAAAAAAAAAAAACAGTGTCCTAAACCTGGGCTGATGGCAGAACCTTCCATCTTACTCTTGGCCTGTCCTGTACCTATTCGGGGTATTCAGGCTTATCACTGTTTAACCTTCCTTCATTCATGATTATTGTAGCGAAACATATGTAACATGAGATTTACCATGTTAGCCATTATTAAGTGTTTAGATGAGTAGCTTTTGCATTTGTGGAACCATCACCACAATCCTCCAGAGCTATATTCATCTTGTAAAATTGAAATACTGTCCCCAGTTAACATTAGCTTTCCAATCCCCTATCCTCATCCCCTGGAAGATACCATTCTGCTTTCTCTCTCTATGACTTTGTTCCAGGTACTTTGTACAAATGTAATTGTGCTTCTGTGTCTGGCTTATTTCACCTACCATAAGGTAGGTGTTTTATATGGCACCTAGTGTGAAAAGGATAGTGTCTTCTACCTTTTTCTCCTCGGAGCCATGATTAAATATAAGATGTCTATGTGCTAACCATTAAGCCTAGAAGCCTGCCGCTAAAGTGGATCAGGCATTTCAGGGGATACTAGCCTTGGAAAGATGTGGCATCCTCATGCTTTGACTGGAGTGTAACTCTGGCCAGGTGTGTAGTCTCTTTCCTGGCCTCACCTCCCTTACAAACTGCTCTGCTCCTGCCCTCTAGTGGCTGGGAAAACTCTCCCCTTGTTACTGTGGTTTTGTCTTTAGATACTGTTTTTCATGAGTTTGTGTTCTCTGTCTGAGTTTGAGTCCTCTGTCTGTCAGCCACCTCGATGGTGAATGCTCCCCATGTGCGAGGACCTTGTGTTCATGAGAATAAGGAAGGTGGGAAACAGACGAGCTTTACAGAACGAGATGTGCTGTCAGTGTATCCAAACCTGCCCCAGCATTTTGTGTGGTTATAGCAAGAGGCTGTGACCCTACATGTGTTTAAATATTTTAAGTATATATTATCAAAACTATCAAAGTAAGTCTAACGCTTTTGTATTTAAATACAAAATGGGTTTTATGTGTTTGTTTTATCTTTTTGTGACAAGGTTTCACTATGCAGTTCAGGCTAGCCTTGAACTTGCAAAGATCCTCCTGCCTCAGCCTCCCTAGTTCCAGGATTACAAGTGTGTGCTACCACACCTGGCTATGAAACAGTATTTTAAAAATAAATACGTTTGCAGTTCTATTCAGTCTCCACCCCGCTGCCAGTGCAAGAAACCAGCATCTTTGCTTTAGGAATGTTGTGCCTATACCTCTGTATAAAAGAATTTAGGAGTAATATTACTTGTTCAATATTATAGTGTGTTCCTCATTTGTTATGTTGCAGTGATTGCAACTATTCAGTGCCTCTGGGGCCATAGTTAGCTATAAATGTTAGGCACTAGTAGCTGTGTTAGATTCAAATTCTTTGTCAACAACAAAAATCTTTTCTTAAGTCTCTCCTTCCCTCTGGATGTCCACATACTCAGGAATCTGTAGCTTGGAATGCTGAGCTTGCAGCTCCTGGCTCTTTTCTGCTGCTGTGGCATTTTTACCCTTATCAATTTTACTGTAACCAATACCACCAGCTTATTTGTGGACATGTTCTCACAAAATTGCATATGCATTTGCCTCTACAGGATTGTGGGAAGTCTTCTGAGAGGCAATTCATCTGAGAAAAGATAGAATGCTAGTGTTTCTGCCTTAGGGTGTGCAGACACTGGGCTGAAGTTATGGCTTTCCAATCTGAATATGGAAGGGCAAGGAGGAATGAGGGCTGTGGTTCCATGCTTGGCTCTCCTTGTGCTACTTGCCAAGGGCGTGGGGTGGACATAGGGAGTTGCTGGACGTCTCCAAAGGATGTTGTTCGAATGGCTTAGGGAGGGAGACGTTGCAGTCCCAGGGATACTGCTGACTCAGATGATGGAGTTTGAATCTTGAATATTCCACAAAGGTGTTGAATGATTAGTTGCCCACCTATGGTGCTATTGGGAGAGGGGAAGGTGGGGTCTATGGGAAGAAGCTAGATCATGGGGTATGCCCTTAAAGAGGCTATTGCAACCCCAGCCCTTTTCCCTCTCTCTTTGCTTCTGGCTACCAGGAGGTGAACCTCTTTGCTGCACACACATTCCCTGCCATGATATTCTGCCTTGCACAGGCCCAAAGCAATAGAGCCAAACAAAGATGAAATCATGAGTGAGAATAGATGCTTTTTCCTTATAAATTGATTATCTTGGGTACTTTATTACAGTAATGAGAAAACTAACACAGCTACCAACTCCAGAATTTAATGAACTAAAGCCAACCCTCAGCGTTCCATTTCCCCTAGTTCCCACCTTGGGGAACTTTCTGCATTGTCTTCATGATAGTTGTTTACTAGTTTCCTCCATGGAGAACATTTAATGCAAATAGAACTTTTTGCAGAAAGAAAGAACCTTGATTTAAAAAGAAAAATAAAAACAATATATATGCAGGAAAAAAAATCACACTGTCAGATATAACCAGTACTGTTTTGTGTGACATCATTCCAGACAGAGTTTAATACATAGTTTTAAATAATTGGGATCTTTCTGTATACTACATTTGTATCACATTTTTTTATTCAAGAGAATACTTTGGGAAGCTACCTGACCATCCATATGCGTCTATGTCACATTTGACCTTCAGTATTTATAGTTTTAGTGTGTTTGCATCTTTGTTCACTTGTAAGATTATTTTAAGTTAAGAAAGAAGAGTCCTTTGAAGGGAAAATTCAGAGATTCTATTACTTGCTGCCTTCTAGAGAGGTGGGGCCGGTCTGAGCCCACATAGGGTGTACCTGGTTGCCCACACTCTTCCGGTGAGGGTCTTAAGTCTTTAGACCTTTGCTTCTCTGGTGGATAATATTAGTGCTAAAGTCTTTTATTTGCATTTCTTTGGTTACTGGCCAACATAAATAGTTTTTCATATGCCATCCATTTGTTTCTTGTTTTGTATACTATGTTCAGCTTTCTGTTGAGGGTGTTAGTTTTCTTCTTGATTTTTAAAAACTCTAGACATGAATAGTATGGATTCTGTTGTGTAATTCAGAGTACCTCCCCCTTCTCCAGGCTGACTTTGCAGGTGCTGTGTTTCATGAGAGGTTTAAAGTTCTATATTATAACCAAATTTATTATTTTCTTATGTAGTTCTAGCTTTTTAAAAGTCATCCTTCAAAAGTCCTTCTTCCCCAAACTTATACAGGTATTTGCTGATTTTTGACTTTATTCTTTTTGGCTTTATTTTTAAAATTTTTACATGTAAACTTTTTAGTTAGAGAATAAAACATTTGATTAATTTTTCCCTAAATGATTAATTTAGGGACTACCACTATTATTTGAAAAATTCATTTTAACCATCTATTTGTAATTTTATCATTATATACAAATTTTTTATACATGTTTGCATTTATTTCTGAATCTGTTACTACAGTTTTTTGGTAGCACTCACAACCATTGTACTTTTTTTTTTTTTTTTTGGTTTTTCTCCGGTACCGGGAATCGAACTCACGACGTTGCGCTTGACATGCAGGCGCTTTTGCCGCTGAGCTAAATCCCCAGCCCCTACAACCATTGTACTTTACTTTGTGGCTTTATAACTCACCTTAACATTTGGTTGTGTAAGTCAGCATTGATAGTTCCATCTCTTAAAAATTGACTGTTATCCCCCAGCAAATTGAATCTGTGTCTGTGGAATTTCCTAAAATGTCTTACACAGAACAGTAATTCTTAAAATACTGTCCAAAGGCCATCTATATAAAAAATTGGGGGTATTTAAAAAATCAGACTCCTGGCACCTATCCCACAGCTCTCAAAATGTAAGTCTGGATCAGGAAAACTTCCCAGATTATTCTTAAGAACAGTGTTAGAAATTTAACACTCAGATAAAATGGTGAACACCAGCCAGCTTCTTCCTGCTTAAATGCTTAAAGATATTACCACCACCTTTTATATGTTACTGTCTGTGTAATGTGTGCAGCTTCACTGTGTCCTATCAGACATTTCTGAGCACTTGTATAGTCCAAATGATGTGTCAAAAAAAGTGCAGTAGAAGGCTGTCATGTGAGATTTGACCTTATGATGTATAACCCTGCTCCCTGATTGCTCACATACACATACACACACACACACACACATATATATATATATATCCCAAATTTTTAACTGTACTTTAGGTGAAAGCAAAATTGCTGCCCTAGAGCAAACTGCAGTTAGGTTGTGGAACAATATATGTGCAAATGATACAGAGACCTCTTATAGAGCACAGGGCCTCAATTGCAGTAATCCAAATAAACAGGAAATACGTGGATTGGAGAGAAATACAAGTAAAGAAATCTCAGCAATAAAGGCAGCAAGTCAAGGAAAGTCTGAGATGGGAGAAAGTGCCACCCCTATGGTAACTAGAATAAAAAAGTGAGTTTTTTTTTTTTTTTTTTTTTTTTGGTACTGGGAATTGAACTCAGAACTTTGTGCTTGCTAGGCAGTCACTGTGCCACTGAGCTATATCCCCGGCCAGTATTTTTTTTTTTTTTTTTTTTTTTTGGGTTTTTCTCCGGTACCAGGAATCAAACTCACAACCTTGCGCTTGCCAGGCAGGCGCTGTGCCACTGAGCTAAATCACCAGCCCAAACCTTTTTTTTTTTTTTCCCCTGGTACCGGGAATCAAACTCATGACGTTGTGCTTGCCAGGCAGGCGCTGTGCCACTGAGCTAAATCCCCAGCCCCTCAGTATTTTCTTAATTAAGAAGCAGAACTCCTAAATCTGGTTGTGCTTCCTAAATTTCTTGTGTTGGTCTTTTATATTGATACTGAGATTATATTAGCAGTAAATTTTCTATCTGGGCTCGTCTCTCGTGGGAACACAGGTATTTTATTCATCTTGCCTTTCTTTAAAACATTATTTATCTTAAGCGCTTAGGGTCATTGTAGCGTAGTGATTGTAGCCAAGAAGATAAGACATTGAATACTGGTTTCATAACTACACTTCATTGTGTTTGCTACTTGCGTTCTTTAGATTCGGGAATACCCAATTGATGTCCAAAGCAACCAGCTGCCCTTCTTGCGGAATCCAGATATCTTGGTGGGAGAAAATGATCTCACTGCCCTTAGCTATCTCCATGAGCCTGCAGTTTTGCATAACCTGAAGGTCCGGTTCCTGGAGTCCAACCATATATATACTTACTGTGGTAAGTAGGGGACATTTGCTTGCTGCATGTGTTTGAAAGTCCTTTTATTTAGATGTTTATTAAATGGTTAAAAATCCTGAATTTATGCTCATGTTCAAGTGCCTCTCGTCTGAACCCCTCAGAAGGTTTGCAATCAGTGAATGTGAAAAGCTGCTTGTGCCTCAGTAAGGTGGCTGGTGTTAATTACAGCTCAACCAGGGGAGAAATGGGCCACACCCAGTGGGGCAGCTGGTTTAGGCTTGTCCTTAGATTCTTAAGAGAGCAATTGGTTAGTCCATCACAGTGTCGCAGCTGTGGTGCATACCCTCACCATCAAATGCACACCTGCACATACAAGCTTGGCTTGTGCTTTCTTCTTCAAAAGGCTGCCTTTCTCTGTGACCTTCTCACTTGCCTGTGTACAAACATGATACCTGATGAATCTTTGTTGAATTAATGAGAAAATACATAACAAACGTGTAAAACAAAAACAACTGAAATTATCGTATTTTTTTTCTGAAACTTCTCCTTTTCCTTTTCCAATATTCTAAATTTTGGTTTCTTTACCCCCTTTGAGTCCCCTTGAGTATTGTTAATTAGTATAACAAAAATAAAACCTGGTAAACTACTGCTTGGGAATCAGACAAATTGGAAACTTGGTTGGGGAGCCGGGCCATGGTCCGCCTCTGTGGAAACTGTCCTGGTTGTGCTACACAGCCTGGTCTTGTTCCTGATCACAGTGATGCCTGCGGTGCCTGTGAGCTTTTTCACTTTTATATTCAGCTTGGTTTGGAATTGGTAGGTTAGCTAGTTGATTAGGGTAAGCTGTTCTTCTAGATTTTATTTTTTATTTTTAATTTGTTTTGTTTTGTTTTGTTTTGTTTTTTCTCCGGTACCGGGAACTGAACTCACGACCTTGCACTTGCCAGGCAGGCGCTTTTGCCGCTGAGCTAAATCCCCAGCCCCAAAATGTTTATTTGTTTTTCTTTTTTTGTTGTTGTTTTTTTTTCTTTTTCTTTTTTTTCTCCGGTACCAGGAACCGAACTCACGACCTTGCGCTTGCCAGGCAGGCGCTTTTGCCACTGAGCTAAATCCCCAGCTCTTCTAGATTTTAATGTTTAAGAGAGGGATAGTTTCCTAAAGCTCCTCCCCGCAACTGCTAGAGGAAGTTTGACTTGAAAGAAATGTTACTATCAGAACTTTCAATAAGAATTTTTAAAAAAACTGTCCCTTTTTAGGATAAATGCCCATTAACTTATGATGTTAGGACTCCCGCAGAGTTGCCCTGTTTATCCAGACACCACAGCTACTCTGGTGTCACCAATTGGGCTACCTCAGGCACCTGAGGTAGCCCCAGCTCCTTCCTAAGTCCTCCGGGAACCACGTGGTTCTAGTGAGAGTTAGAGTATTTTGGGATGATGTAATCTCAGGATTGGAGATGGAAATTTGAATTGAATGCTACATGAGTAAGATGATTAGAAACATCTAATAGACATAAGAACTTGCCTTGATGTTTCCAAGAGGATTCTCCAAGTGATTAGCCTAGTTACAGAATTTATGAGGGTTCTGTGCCTCAGTTTTTGATCCGGGTAGTCTTTTTGCTTTGGAAGACTTATGTATCTCTTTCCTCCCCTGGCCTTTGCATCTTGATTTAGAATAATCTGATTTATTACGCTTCAGGTTCCTCATATCTCACTAGAAGGGAATGCAATGTAGAATTCCAGTGGCCAGAAACCTGACTGTTCGTTCTTCCTCTTCCTCAAGTGACTGGAAAAGCTTCTGGTTTTGTACCTCAGTGCCTGGGTCTTCTGACATCCAAAATATGATCTCATGGGAAAGGAAACTCATATTTCTATCTTGTCTCAGAGACTGAATCTGCATTTTTCTTTGCACGTTCTCCAATATCAGTTTGCTCCACCTATCTCTAAAAGATGATCTGAATCTTACAGGATTCCCTGACACTGCAATCAGAATGTTTATTAAGCTCATCATTACAACATACCCTTTTTGGGTAACATGAGCTATAAGGAAAAATTAAGATAGAAGATGTTGTATGATTAAAAAGCAAATACACAGTGCTTACTGTGCAAGGTACTGGTGTTGGGTGTCCTCCTTCTGTTCATCAGGTTACTCTCCATATGTCCCAGGTCAGTGCAGTTGTTACCCTATTGCATAGTTGAGGCACTGAGAGGTTAAGTAGTACCCTGAGTGTACTTTCTGTCCATAAATTGTTTGTATTTTAACTAAGAGAACCCATACAGGAGTGAAAAAATTAATTCCTATCTGGATTTTAATTCCTAGATGGGATTTTAATTCTCTAACCCCTATTGATAGAATCCCCTTCTTTATTCATCCTGCAACATTTTACATAGCTGTGTTTTATGAACTCAGTTTGACCATTTATGAATGTGTCTGTGTGCAGGTATGTGCCAGTGTGAGGACACTTGCTTTCCCAGGCTATAAGGTAGCTTGAGGCCTGGCCTGTGTGTATCTTACTCCTCAGGAATGACTAGCTTAGCAGCACACAGATCTATCTTGATTTAGTTTAGTGGTTAAGATTCATCCTGCTACTCTCTTACTCTTTAGTTTCAGTGTACATGAATGGTGCCTAAAACTGATGCCACATGGCTCTTGTGCTATAGAAATCTCACTGCCTTGTCTGTCTGCAGGTATTGTGCTTGTTGCCATTAACCCTTACGAGCAGTTGCCAATCTATGGACAAGATGTCATCTATGCCTACAGCGGCCAAAACATGGGCGACATGGACCCCCACATCTTTGCTGTGGCAGAGGAAGCCTACAAGCAGATGGCCAGGTGAGAATAACATCATCCCAGTTCTCCCAAGAGTCAGGGCCGGAACTGGTGTTCCCACTTTGCTTTGCTCTTCATGCTCACCAAGGAGCTGTAAAACTGGGATTGAAGAAACGTCTGGAAAACAAAGCAGCCCAAGTTCTGTTTCCTTTCTTTTATCTTTGTCTTTTTCTTATGATCTTGAACCTGGACTTAGGGAGCAGCAGCTCCTTAGAATTATTTCATTTTTTGAGCTATAGAATAAATCCTTTGCATTTCATTTCTCCTTGGCTTCTTTAGGGCCCTTCTCCTATTCATATGGTGTAAAAGAATGATGGATTGATTGATTTTTTTGGTGTTTTGAGTCAGGGTCTTGCTATGTAATGAAGGCTGACCTTGAACTCACTATGTAGCCCAGGCTGGCCTTGAACTTAGTGGTGGTGCTGCTGCCTCACTCTGCCAGGGGCTGGGATTACAGGCGTGCACCACCACACCCAGGTTCAAGAGAATGATTTTATACCCTCTCCATTTATTTGCCCTTTTCCTCATTTTTACTTGCCTCAACTACAGCCTCAGCCCTCACACTAAATTGTGTTAGTAAATGTTTATGAAGTAGTAAGAAACGTAAGAACTCATTTCACTTTTTAAAATTCTCACTTCTTTATTTTTTAAAAAAATTTTAATATATTATTAGTACGTGGTTGGAGGACAGAATGGTTACATTCCTCTGTGGAAGCTGGTGCATGCATCTCTCAGATCTTTGTTCATCCCTTTCTTCTCTCTCCTCTCCCTCCATCTCCGGTCCCCTTCCATTTTGCAAAAGAAAGACCTAGCTCCCTATTTCCTGATATCTTTATTTTGATCTTTATTTTTGAGTTGCTCGTATAAGAGAAACCACGCAGCATTTAAGCTTGTGTGTCTGATTTATTTCATCTAGCATTATGATCTCAAGGAACATCCATTTTTCTACAGATGACTCAAGTTTATTCTTCTGTATGACAGAGTAGTATCCCATGATGTATAAATACCGTACTTTCTTTATCCATCCATTGATAAACATAGAGGCCACTTCCTTCATTCTACTTCTTAAGGAGTTCACTGTCTGTTTGGAAAGAGAAGACATGAGAAGGCAAAAGCCCATAATTGCAGGGAGTATAAATAGAAGCTATGCCCTAGTGTCATTTGAATTGAGTTTGGAGTCAATGTTGCAGATTCCAAGAAAACTTGGATTTTAGCTGTGTCTGGATGCGTAGGTTGGATGCAGATTGAGAAGGCATGTAGGTAGGTAGAATACTGTAACCATACGTGCAATCATCAAAGGGCATTGTTATAAAATGACAAGGAGATAATATTGTTCCTACCCACTAGCATGGCTGTAATCAAAAATAACATGTATTGGCAAGGATGTGGAGAGATGAGAATCCTCATACACACTGCTAATAGAAATGTAAATTGGTGCAGCCACTTTGGAAAATAGTCTAGAAGTTCTTCAGAAGGTTCAGTACAGTGTTCTTATATGACCTAGTCCTAGTGATTACACTCATATATATCCCCTCATATTCAGTCTGCAAAGTTATAAATGTTTATAACAGCATTAGTCCCAACAGCCAAAAAGTGAAAGCAGTTTAAATGTCCATCACTTGATAAACAAAATAGTGAATATGTACCTAAGGATATTATTTGGTCATAGAAAGGAACAAAGACCTGACTCATGCTGCCATAGTGGTGAGCCTTGAAAAAATAGTAGGTGAAAGAAACTAGATAGAAAAGGCCACATATTATGTGATGCTATTTATATGAAACATCAAGAGTAGGCAAGCCTAATAGATGTGGAAAATGCATTAAAAGTTGGAGGCTTGAAGGGAAATAAAGACTGATTTCTGATAAGTATGATTGTAGTTGGGGGGACATGAAATGTTCTAATATTGGTTGTGGTGAGGGATATACAACTCTGCACATGCTCTAAAAACCGTTATGTTACATACTTTAAATGAGTGACTTATTTGTTCTATCAGTTATTATAAACAAAAAGGCAGGGCTTGGGGATAGTACCTAGGCATGTTTAACCTATATGGTGAGTGGATAAACAGGGAGTTTGGGGAGGCTGGAGTTAGAGAGAAGGTGAGACCTTTGGCAGCTGGGGTGTGCTTTATGTGTCCTATTAGCAGAGTGACAGTGTGGTCAGATGAGTCAGGATTAATCAAGTTAAGCATCTTCCTTTCAGGCAGAGTTTCTCAGGGCCTCTATGTTGACATGCATTCTGAGTCTGTAAGACGGGGATGCATTACTGTGCCTCGGGAAATCATAGTTGGATACAGAACTGTTTTCAGAGATTACCTCAAGGGACTAATGTTCTGTGCAACACTGTTTGGGAAATACTGGCCCAGAGCAATGGGGACATTTTAGAGCTTCTTGGATGAGTGTAATATAATTTCAGGAATGTTCAAAGGAAAATTTTTCTCTCATGGATCCAATTTCAAGTAATCTTTTTCATTTCTGTATTCTTGTACCATTTCCAAGGATAGAATATCTTCTCATGAGCTTAATTTGTTGTGCAAATAACTTGTCTAAGTGACCTGTATAGAATGAATGAAAAGTAAGGAATTAAAAAGTATGACACTACATGGTACAGTGTTCTTTTCCTTGAGTCATCTGTACTTTACCCTAGGGCTTATGATTGGCGTGCACTCCAGGAAGAGTAGAAATAATTGACACATTGATGCATTTAGTTCTTGCAGTTGTCACAGCAGATTAATTATCCCTGAGATGCTGATGAAGATAGAGATTTAAGTACATTGAACACTTCTCTAAGGTCATAAAGCTAGCAAGTAGAGGTGGAATCCAGTCCCAATCTGTTTGGCCAGAACAGCCTGCATTAGCCAAGAAGCCACAAGACTCAGCTGTCTTTTGACCAGCCCCAGATAGTCTTGTCAATACAGAGCAGACCCTGTCCTAGGGCAACACCGAGGGCCAAAAGGATAGTATCTCATACTCTACAGTGGGATTAGAGTTTTGGTGCATTTCTCAGCTGCTTTGGTAGAAGCCCATCTTATTAGGCTGGCAGGTTTGATTTTTTTTTTTTTTTTGAGCTGTTTGTTTTGTGTTATTTTTTTCTGAAAGAGACCAAGAACACTGTAAAGCAAATCTATTTGCTCAGGTAGCCAAGGTAATTGAGCACCACATTCCCCATCTGTCTCTGCTGTGTTGCCAAAGTATGACTAATAGTGAAAGATTGGATTGCTGTTGCCTAGGATCCTGGGATAGGGGAATGCATCTAGATAGATACACCTGAGGCACCCTGGGTGGCAACTGAAATGGACCTGTGCCTGACTGGGTGCCTTCCTGAAGGTAGGTTTGGAACCCATGAGAGTCAAAGACTGTGGTCAGTGGAATCAGGCATTCTAATGCAAAGCCCTGGTTGAACTCTTGGGAAAGAATGTCTTGCTTAGTTTGGGTCCCCACAAATGGAAAGAATCAGTAGGGAATTTGAAAGCCTGGCAGGGAGCAGTATGGAAAAAAGTGTCAATGTGTTCTACTGAAAAAGATAACTACTAAAAGAAATTCACGATTGTGGATGTGTTGCAGAAGGAAGAGGGAATAAAGAAACTTTGAATTCTCCATCTTTGCAGATTAAACATCAAGGATGGAATTGATAACTCTATCATCTGAGTCATTTGGTTGTAGAATACTCTGGTATCCATGAGAATAGACTTGGGACTTTTCAATATTTCTTCTAAGCTATGAGTTTGTGGATCTTGGATCTTTGGAAAAATGTTTAAAAAGTATTATATATAAGTGAACCAAATGTATAGTTTGTTTTGAGAGACAACAGCTTCCTTAATTTTTGATAAAGTAGCTTATTATTCTGGGCTGTGGGGCTTGGGCAATGGGAGATGTGAAATGTTTGCAATGAAACCTTATGTTTTGAGTTCAAGAACATCACGCTAATGAGAGCAAGATCAGGTTTTGCTTTCTGTGAATTGTTTGCTGTGCAGTAGGATCCAGAGTTTTGTCCTGGTAGTCTTGTCTCTCCTGACCTATTGCATGACCTGGAAAAACCTCTGGCCTCGGTGGCACCACTGTCCTCACTGATTGAGGAGAACACTGGCCTTGGCTTGGAGAAAGGTAGAATTCAGTGAGAAGTTGTGAGGAGCTTTTGAAAGCCAATGAATGCTTTAACATATTCATGATGGAGGCATAATTTATATGTCATGCTGCTGGGTGGCTTGAACCACTGGTGGTACACACATGACTGTCTTATCGGGGGTCTTTTCATGTTATTAGTAAGAAGTCCAATAAAGATGATTAGATTCTTTTGTACTTCCAGAGGTACAAGCCACACAATGCAACAGTCATGCATGTACCACTGGTCATTCAAGCTGGTGGGAATGTGTTAAAACTTTGGGGTGTAGCTGGATACAAAGTCAATACTCAAAAATAAATAGCATTCCTGTACACAAGCAAAAAATCACTGAGAGAGAAATTAGGGAAACAACACTTTTCACAATAGCATTCAAAAAACATGAAATACCTAGGAATCAATCTAATGAAGGATGTAAAAGACCTCTACATTGAAAACTACAGTACTCTGAAGCAGATATCAGAAAATGGGACAATATGCCTTTCTCTTGGGTAGGAAGAACCAATATAGTGAAAATAATCATACTTCCAAAAATGTTATACAGATTTAATGCAATTTTGATCAAAATTCCAACAGCATATCTCACAGAATTAGAGAAAACAATTCTAAAATTCACTTGGAACCAGAAAAGATCTAGAAAAGCAAAGGCAGTTCTGGGCAACAAAGGCAAGGCAGGGGGCATCACAATCCCTGACTTGAAATTGTACTTTAAAGCTAGTATGATTTTTAAAAAAGCATGGTACTGG